GTGACTTCAGGACCACCCGGGAGCGGTCGGAGGACCTCGCCGCCGTCCTTTGCTCGTGTCACCTCGGCACCGGCACCTTCAGGCCCGAGCTCCTTCCCTCCTTGCCCCTCCCCGTCCCTTCCCTGCCCTGGCTCTCAGGGCAGCCCACATCCCCCACGTCCATAGGATCTGTTCAGCATCCACCCTGAATGGATGTCCATCCTTCCTGTGGGATACAAACAGACAGACATTGCCCTGTGGCTGGCGGCTCTGTGGGATGTCATGAACAAGGGACAAGGGACCGAGGCCACACCAAAAGCACAGGGCATGGCCAGTTGCCTTGGGCCAGTGTGGTCCTGGACCCCACGTGTCCAGTCCATGAGTCTTTGGGCTCCTGTCAGGTTGGGATGTCTAAGTGCTGGCCCTGGGCAGGCCGGGCCCCTGGAGGCTTCTGTGTGTGACCTGAGCACCCTGCAGGATAGCAAGCCGCACAGGGAGGACAGGGTGGGACAGGTCTCTGTGGTGGGTACAGCAGGGCTTCCTGCTGTGCGGGAGACGGACCCTCCTGCACCGAGAGCCCGGGGGGAGTGGGATCCTGGGGTCTCAGGTTCCCTGTGGCTGGCCCTGAACCCCCAGAACAGAAGCCCTCTGCTCCCTGCTGACTGAGGGCAGAGTCTAGCTGGGCCCTGAGGAGTTGTGGGGGCGTGGATTTCCAGGGTGCTGGGGAGGTCAGAGGGCTCCGTGCGGAGGAGGAGGTGAGAGGTGGGCAGGGAAGCCGCTCTGGCCAGGCTAAGTTGGGTGGGGCCTGGGGCTGAGGGTCTGAGCAGAAGGGAGCTCCTGGGTCACCTTCCTTCTCTGAAGCGCAGGGACTGCAGGCCTCCAGGGTGCCAGGAGGGACAGGTCAACACCTCCCCAGGTCCTTCCCCTGCTCACACCAACCAGGCCATTAGCACGGGCCACGTGGTCCACCTGACCGGGAATCATGCACCTCTAGGCAGGAAGTGAGACGGGGAGGGGCTGAGCCCCACTAAGATCCCACGCATGGTGCAGAACAGCCCGAGATTGGCCCCCTCGCCCGTCTCCATCCCTGGCATCCCGCCAAGAGCAGCACCGTGGAGACCAGGAAGGGCCCCAAGGAGACCCAGAGTGGACGCTCGGCTGTCTTTGGCGTTGTATTTCTTCCCTGAACTGTGGGTGGAGCTGCCGTGCACCCGGGGTCCGGATAGGGTGGGGCGCTGCCTTACCCGGCGAGAATGATCAGAGAAGAAGAGTTTACTTATTTTTCACTTTCATTTGTTCTTTCTAGACATGCCTGACAATAGAGTGTTTCTCGACATGTGACACATACGGGCAGCGTGACTCACTCCAGTGGGATCCGTCTGGCAGCTGTACGTGACGTGCCGTCTCACTGGTCGTGTATCCACATTCGGGCCTGGGAAAGGGAGGTCCCTTCATCCCCCTTTTGTGTGATCAAGGAATGACTCCATTCCTTGGGGCTGGAGGTGAGGCGGGACATCATGGAGGAAGATTGTGATGGAGGAAGCCAGTTGGGAACATGGCACCAAGGAGCTAAACGCATCTCACAAAACACAAACTGCAAGGGCACCCCCGAGGGACCCAGCTGCACCCGCCACACCCCTCCTGCCTCCAGTCACCACCCAGTCACTCCCGGTCGGGGTTAATGCACAGGGAGGTGAAGGCTCTCAGGACCCAGTCACCGCACCTGTACACCTTCTCTCATTGTCTCACACGTGGGCTTTGGGGGATGCCTCACATTCAAACCCTAACAGAGGCCGAGCTCTGCCCTCTCTGCTCCAACCACAGAAAAGGGATGAATACATGGGAGAAGGCGGAGTTCATCCCCAGAGGCATGCCCAGAAACAGCCTGGGGACGGTGGCTGTGCACCTGGCAGAGGGGACTTCAAGCTCCTCCCAGGAGAGGACACTGAGCACACACCTGAGCCCAAAGCCCAGGGTCTGGGAGCCACAGCGATAGGCAGAGCCGCTCCCAACCTCACCCCAGTCCCCTGGAGTGTGGATTCACAAATGATGGAGAAGGAGTCATTGGGGATATCTGACGTCCAGGATGCTCTGGAGTGTTGGGAAAGAGGGAGAACTCCACGCTCACTGGGGATGGAAAACCATGAAGCAGAAAGCGGCGTCCCAGCATGAGTCCCCAGTCCAGCCCAGCCCCAGCTGGGCCACCCCCAGGGACGTCCCTCCTGCACGTGCTCCGAGCCAGGTCCGAAGTCCCTGGCCGACCTCTGCTGGTCTCCACGGTTTCTGGAGAGAATCAGCTGTCGTTGGTTCCTTGTCCCGCTTGTTTAGTTCTGTTTTAATCCGACGGCTTTACTGCCACTTCTGTCTTCAGGTCTCTGCTGAGTGCAGAGGGGTGGTTCTCCTGCCTGCGACTTGCTGAGGTTCTTGACTTGTTCACCAGTTCTGAGAAGCTCCCAGCCACACTTCAGATTCTGGTTCTGTCCCCTCTCGCTCCTCTTCTCTGGGGCCGCGGTGCAAGGCCGCCGGACGGCGGGGCCCCATCTCCCTGCTTGCCTGTGTCTCTATTCTTCTCCTTGTCTCTCGGAGCTCGGGTCATTCTATTGACCAACCTTTGAGTCAACTGATTCTTCTGTGTGGTTTCTCAATCTTGGACATTGTATTTTTAAAGTTATAGAAAGACTCTTGGGCTCTTTTATTAGAAAATCCCGTCCTCTTTGACCCGGTGTGGAGTACCTGCCTCTGAAGAACCAGGGGCTGAAGCCAAGGCCGGGCCTCGTGCCTGCCAGGGGTCCACCACTGGGCGGCACCCCGCTGGGCCGGGTTCCTTGGGTTGAGCTCGTTTCTGTGAAGGTCCTAGAGATGAGATGTCAGGGCAAGGGGCCGGTCCGAAACAGGAGTGCAGCCAGCATCTGCCGCCAGGACACCTGAAAGGGGACATTGGAGGGACAGGGCAGGGCACATGACAGTCCCCTTGGGGTCAACACTACTGGCTGCAGAGTGATCATGGCCCCTTGGTGATCCATTCCAGGCCTGAGGAGATGGCGTGAGTCCTAAGAACATGGGGTCTTCTCCCAGGACAGATGGGGACTCTCAGCTCCTTCAGGACACGGGAAGGATTCTGGGACTCGGAGTCTATGCCAGATACTCCGTGTCCACTCTCAGAAGCAGGCTCTGGCCTTCTCTAAGTCCAGCGAGGACGACTGCATGGACTTCCCCAGGCCCTCTACGTCCAGCTGAGCAACAGGAAAGCCAGGTCCACATGCTCCTGTGGGCTGGGACAGTGGCAACCCTCCAGAGGCAGGCGGGTTGGGACAGTGGTGTGGCACTCCACCCAAAGCCCAAGTGCCTGCCCAGCAGTCACTTCAGCAGCCATAATGTTCCCCTCCCTTGTCCCTTCAACCCAAGCATGAGTACCACCTTGCCTTCCCTCGACCTTGGGCGCAACCCCCCCTGGAGCCCTCCAGGATGCTACCCCCAGAGGTGCTCTTGGTTTATGGCTCCAGGTGAAGGATGACAAGGCTTGAGGGTCCCACCCTCACCCTCTGCCCCTCCTGGGCAGTGTGCCACCTGCATATCGATGACACAGAGGGATAGTGACACCGCTCAGCTCTGCAGGCAGTAGAAGTGACAGCCCCAGAGGAGACAGCACATTCAGGATGCACCTGGAGAAGAGAGCTAAGAAGAGAGGGAGGGGCTAGGTGGCCAGGGAAGACTGCTGTTGCAGAGAGGCACTGGAGGCCCAAGAGGCAGCAACTGACCACCGACTGCCCACACCCTGGCAGCTGGCCTGCAGTCAGAGGTGGAGTCCCAGGAGGATAGAGAGTGGGCGCCAGGTTGGCCCAGGGCAAAGGGCCTCATTTCAATATGACGTCCTCCCACGTCCAAGGCCTGGCTGCTTCCCAGTGTCACCTTCCTGGGTTCTGCTAAAGTGTGAAAGGCTGTGAACTAGAGTCAGGAGGGCCAGGCAGAGGACTAGGTCAGGTCAGATGCAACCAGACCCCCGAATCCCCAGACCTGCCCAGGTTGCTCATCCACCGAAACCCACAGCCCTCACACCTGGAGCTGGACCCGGCCCTGCAAGCTCCCCGCATCCATCCCCTGGGCTGGACGACTCCACAGTCCCCGCCCCACGCCTGCCTCTTTCAAGACCCTGGCTCTCTGGAAAGGGGTTGAGGGTTCCTGGGGTGGCAGGTGGCTTCGCCCCCAAAGCCTGATTGACAGCGGAGACGAGGTCATGAAGACTCAGCGGGAGGCTGCAAGTGGAGGCTGTGAGTGGCGGCTGCGTCCTGGCTTCTCCACCCCGCACAGATCCAGGGCGGCGGACCTGCCCATGCCCCCGGGGTTGAGCCCGGCCACACCCGACCTGGCCGTGACCTTGGCGCGCAGGAGCCTCCGGGAACAGTGCCCTCCCTGAGGCCTTAGCGCCACCCGCCGCGGTCCGTCTCCGGTGCCCCAGAGTCCCCGCCCGGCACCCGCTCCCTTCGCGCCCGCGAGCCGCCCGCCGACGCGCTGGGTTATTAATACCCCGGAGCTGGCGCTGGGCCCCGGCGCATTCCCAGCTGGCGACCCGGCAGGTGGCGGCGGCCAGGGGCCGGCGCGGCGCCGCTCTCCCCGTGGAGAGGGCGGGCACCTCCCTCCTTTGCCTGGAAGCCCAGGAGGCCGCGGACCCTCCGCCCCTCCTCGCCCCGCCGGGGGCTGCGCAGAAGTTCCCGGAGCCCACTTTTCCGAGAAGTGGTTGGAGACTTGTGGGGACCCACCAGGCGCCAGGCGAGGTGCTGTCCCGCGCGACCCCAGGCTGGGTGGACAGGTCTGATGGCTCCGTGACCACCCGAGTGCCGCGGCAGGTGGGTGCAGCGCCCGTGGCTGGGGTCCCGAGAGCTCCTGCTGCCCCGGGGCTGGCATTGTGGCGCCCAGAGGGAACACGAGGTCCCTGGAGACGCAGGTCTCCATCCTCAAGGAACCGATGGAAGACCCTGAGCCGGTGCCCGCCCCCGACTTGGTGTGGGCTTCCTGGCCGTCCTGTCCCTGGGCCCTAGGCCTGGGTTCTGCCAGGCGGCCAAAGACCCTCCAGCTGCACCAGTTACTTGGGGACTGTCAGGCTGGGGGTCTTGCTCCCTTCTCCCCTTCTTTTAACAGTCCCATGGGGGAAGGTGGGCGGCCCCTAGAGGGCTTGGGCACTGGCCAAGAGGTAGGGCAGCTGAGCGAGGGGGCCTGGGCGACTTCCGGGAGGTTAGCTGTCCAGCTGTGGGAGAGGACATCGCGGCCAGCTTCACCAGACCAGAGGCAGCTGCGAGAAGGAAGGCGGGAGGGACTTGGACATGTCTGGTCTCCTTCTGCAGCAGGAGCTCAGGGTCACCTGGAGTAGGACCAGGCAGAATTTATCCTTAATGTCATCAGCCTGGAGGGAAGAGGGAAGCCATCTAGAGGCAACATAGGGCGGATATGGGGGAGGACAGCCTCAGGTCATATATATATAGGTTGTAGTTGGACACAATACCTTTATTTTATTTATTTTTATGTGGTGCTGAATATTGAACCCAGAGCCTTGCATTTGGTAGGTGAGCACTCTACCGCTGAGCCACAACCCCAAACCCCTCTTAATGTTCTAAATGAATTTTATTTTTAAAAAATCTTTTCTCACCAAAGGTCATGGAGATATTCTCCTATTTTCTTCCAGACGCCCAACTGATAAATCTATTTAACCTTTTACACATAGACCTGCCATCCGTGGCTGTGCGTGTGGTCCAGGCTCAGTCTGCCATCCGTGGCTGTGGTATGTGGGTCCAGGCTCAGTCTGCCATCTGTGGCTGTGTGAGTGACTTGAGGATCCAGGCTTATTTTCTTCCTTTGATAAATGGAGATTGCAAAGGTCTTCTCCCTTTATCTCACTTTCCATTTGGACTTTAAAGTCAGCATTTATGGCTTTTGTAGTTAGAAGAAAACACATTTTTACAATGTACAAGTGAGATGACATGAGAGAGCGGGGTCTCAGCTGGACCCAGGACGCGGGCGCTGGCCTTGACCCTGAGGGGCTGCACTGCGGTGCTCTGCTTTCAGAAAAGCTCAGTCAGCCCTGGAGGCCTTGGCTGGCATCGCGGCCTGGGCTGGGGTCCTCTGGGGAGTTCCCTGGGGACAGCTGGTCACATAGTTCCCAGGTCCCTCTGGGTGGCCTGTGGGCGTGGAAGAGAGTGCTGCCTTGCACCCTGACGGGCACTCCTCCCACAGGACGGCCGTTTGCCCACAGACACACCCCGTCCTCCAGGAACAGCCGTCCCAGCGGAGTCCAGCGTGAAGGCAGAGATGGCGCTGAGCCCAGAGTCAGGCAGTGCCACGCCCAGGCCACCTGGTGGCCCCAATGTGTCCCTCAACAGCTCCTGGGCCAGCCCGACGGAGCCCAGCTCCTTGCAGGACCTGGTGGCCATGGGGGCCCTCGGGGCAGTGCTCTCGGCCATGGGTCTGGTGGGCATGGTGGGCAACGTGTACACACTGGTGGTCACGTGCCGCTTCTTGCGCACCTCGGCCTCCCTGTACGCCTATGTCGTGAACCTGGCCCTGGCAGACCTGCTGTACCTGCTCAGCATCCCCTTCATCGTGGCCACCTACATCTCCAAGGACTGGCACTTTGGTGACGTGGGCTGCCGAGTCCTCTTCAGCCTGGACTTCCTGACCATGCACGCCAGCATCTTCACCCTGACCGTCATGAGCAGTGAGCGCCACGCTGCCGTGTTGAGGCCCCTGGACACCGCGCAGCGCTCCAAGGGCTACCGCAAGCTGCTGGTGCTGGGCACCTGGCTGCTGGCCCTGCTGCTGACCCTGCCCATGATGCTCGCCATCCGGCTGGTCCACAGGGGCCCCAAGAGTCTCTGCCTGCCGGCCTGGGGCCCACGTGCCCACCGCGCCTACCTGACGCTGCTCTTCGGGACCAGCATCGTGGGGCCCGGCCTGGTCATCGGGCTGCTCTATGCCCGCCTGGCCCGGGCCTACTGGCTGTCACAGCTGGCCTCCTGCAGGCAGACACGGCGGCTGCCCAACCCCAGGGTGCTCCGCCTCATCCTCAGCGTGGTCCTGCTCTTCTGGGCCTGCTTCCTGCCCTTCTGGCTGTGGCAGCTGCTCTCCCAGTACGAGGCCCTGCCGCTGGCGCCCCGGACAGCGCGCCTCGTCAACTACCTGACCACCTGCCTCACCTACGGCAACAGCTGCCTCAACCCCTTCCTCTACACGCTGCTCACCAAGAACTACCGCGAGCATGTGCGGGGACGCCCCCGCTCCAGGGGCAGCAGTGGCCACGGGGGCACCAGCAGCTTCCTGCCCAGTCACGTCCACTTCCAGAGGAACTCAGGACACTCACTGTCCTCCAGCAGCCAACAGGCCACGGAGACCCTCATACTGTCCCCTGTGGCCGCTGGTGGGGCCTGTGTCTGAGTCCCCTGTGTGAGCCTACTGGTCAGGGAGTCCAGGCAGGGAAGGCCCCAGCGCCCAGGTCATGCCCTGCGGCCCTTCCCCAGCGCCCTCTCCCAGCTGGCCTCTACTGCTCTTCCTCCACCTTCTTCTGCCTCTCGCTGCTGCCCTCAGCAAGCTGGCCACGTCCCCACCAGGTGCAGATGCTCCTCCCGCACACGTCTCTGGAGCCAGGCTGCCTCCCAGGCCCATGGGGTCTGATGCCCCGGCCTTGTGGTCCCAGAGCAGCCCTCTGCCCGCTTGGCTGGGAGGCCGTGGGCACCTCTTCCCTGCCCCTGCCCAGCCCTCCTGGCTCCTGCTCTTCCCTGCTGAGCCCTGGGCACAATAAAGCCGGAGCCCTGCAGCCTCTGCCTCAGCACAGTGGCTGAGGAGGGTCACGGAGGAGGCTCCTGCCCCCGGGACCACGGCATGTGGGGGGCAGCTGCCTGGCTGTGGGGGATGCGTGTCAGGGGCTGGAACACACACATGTGGCTACAAGGACTGCCCTCGGTGTCAGGGATGACGTGGACAGGTGGCCTCCGGTCTCCTCTGGCATGCTGGAAGGGGGAGCCGGGCCAGGGGGGCTGGGCCACCTCGTGAGCCAGCCCCGGGCCCCACAGCACCACACAACAGTGAACCACGAGGAGGAACCACAGGTGGCAGGAAGACCACAGGAACACGGCTCTGTGGGCAGGCGGGCCAGGAGGGCCCCTGTTCTGGACCCCACTTCTCTGGGAACCCTCCTGCCCTCCAGAGCCAAGGTGCCCCAGAGGGGGGACTTCCTGGAGCCACAGGGCTGTCCATGGCCCCTGACCCCCTGAGGTGGACATGACCAAAGTGTTGGGTCTCTTGGGGGCACGGGTGGCCTCACGGCCCAGGGAGAGTCACAGCACCTCAACATGCCTGACCCCACCTGGAAGCTCTTCTGGAGCAGAGAGCAGGGGACCCCAGGGATGAGCCTGAGATGTGGCCTGGCCTGGTCCCTCCCAGCCAAGGTCAGGGAAGGGAACATCATGGGTCTCTGAGCACCTGAGACGTCCCAGATGTCCCCACAGGCCCGACGGGAGTAGAGTCCTAGAGAAAGACACGTGTGCACATGTCTGTGAGTGTGCACACCTCCAGGGCACCTCGGTGTGGAGAGGAGGGAGGGAGACCCAGGGGTGCAGAGGGCAGGTGAGCACTAGGCAGCATCCTTGCAGAAACTGAGGTGGCGGCTGGTCAGCTGAGCACCAACGTTCCACCCCAGGGAGAGTCGGGCAGGTGTGCAGGGTCCTGCTGAGACAAAGCACTCCGCAGGCCGCAGGGGGCAATGCAGCCCACAGGGGACACCTGGCCCTCACCTGGCCTCTCCTGGCTCCTCTCCTGGCCCTTTACCTGGTCCTCACCTGGCCCTCATCTGGCCCTCACCTGGCTCCTCTCCTGGTCCTCACCTGGCCCTTCACCTGGCCTTCACCTGACCCTCACCTGGCCCTTTACCTGGCCTTCACCTGACCCTCACCTGGCCCTTTACCTGGCCTTCACCTGACCCTCACCTGGCCTTCACCTGACCCTCACCTGGCCCTTTACCTGGTCCTCACCTGGTCCTCACCTGGCCCTCATCTGGCCCTCACCTGGCCGTCTTCTCATACCTCCCACAAGGCACACGCAGATACACAAGGACCCTACACAACTTGCTGCGGCTCAGTACCCCCTGACCCCACCCTCGGTCACTCCCTTTCCACCTCATTCCTGGCACCCAGGTCCCAGTGAGCTGCCAGAATCCAGCTCCCAGGGGCAGCAGGTGCCATCACAGCCAGGAAGGTGATCTATGCAGGCTCCTCCGGCTCAGGAGGGTGTGAAGCCCAGCAGGCACTGTGAAGGCCCCTGGCCCCACCTGCCCTGGCCACACCTCTGCTCTGAGGCCCCCAAGACTCTGAGGCTGCCGAGGGTCCATGGGTCTGAGGCAGACAGCAGAGGGTCAGGACGAGGGTGCACACAGGTCGGTGTGCACAGATGGACTGAGCATCAGGCCTCCTGTCTCCTTGTTGGTCTGAAGCCCACCTCCTCCCGAGTGAAGTGTGCTGCAGTGATCGGGCCATCCACAGACGGGCGCCACTCTCACCACAAACCCGCCCAGGACACACAGAAAGGCTCTGGAGACTGTGGGCGGGCAGCCTCGAGGCAGAATCTTCTCCCCCATCTGAAGGTCTGGGAGCTAGCGGCTTTCAGACTTGCCCGCGAGGTGTGGATGCCTGGGTCTGGCAGATCCCAGCCGTGGGGCTGGGTGGGTGTGCACACATCCAGGGCACCTCGGTGTGGAGAGGGTGGGAGGGAGACCCAGGGGTGGAGAGGTGATGGCTAATGCGTCCTCAGTGGAGACCACTGTTCCCTGGGTGGCTGTGCCATGGACGCTCACCCCTGAGGCAGGACCCCTCCTGTCCTGGCCTGCACGCGGACCTCGGGTAATTTGGGTGCATCTAGGGGAAGGGATTTCTCTGCACAGAAGCCACTTGGGAATCCCCTTGTGAGACGCTCAGTTGGGAGGGGAAGGGTGGTAGGTCTGGGCTGGAGCCGGGTGAACGGTGGGGATCCTGGCCGTGGGGGGCCCACAAGGCTCCCAGGAAGACCTGGAGCAGCGAAGCGGCCAGCATGGGGACTGGTGGACTGAAGGGAGCGACATCTTGCCAGGCCATGGGATGCCCCACCCAACTGCCTCAGAGCAGAGCAGAATCAGGAGGGGGAAGGCGACTGACAGGCTGGGCCCCCAGTGGTGGTGAATGAACAGATGTGTCCCTGGGTCCCTGGCTGGGAGGGACACCCAGTCCATGATCATTTTCTGGGTGCCTGTCTTTGCTGGCCAGCGGTCTCCAGGCAGGTCTGCAGGGGCTGGGTCACCTCGGCCCTGGCAGAGGGTGACACCACACCTCCAGGCTGTCCATGGGGCCCCACGGGACTTTTTCAAGTACCCGAGCTCCCAGGGGAGTGGCCCAGCCCAGTCCCAGGGCTACAGAGCCTTGGCTGTGACTGCCCCAGGCCCCACCCTCTCTCCCCAACAGCAAGCATTGAGATGTCGCTGGTGTGGGTCCACAGGGGGAGAACAGCAGGTGCTCAGCTGTGTGGGGACACACCGGGCAAGGAGGTACAGATCTCACTACCCAGGCACCTGCCCAGGTCTGTGAGTCCTGTCCCATAATTTACCAACAAGAAACACACACACCTAAGCTCCCTGTACTGCTAACTTTTCCAGGAATAGAGCTCTTGGGAAGTCCTACGACAAGTAGATACCACTGTTTACTTGTCCACAGAGCTCTCTGCTTTGGGACATTGTCTCCATCAAAAGGAATTTGAGGGACACCTACTGGATTGTGGGTGACCACAGCGATAGCATTTATGGGTGAGGGGTGGCCCTGGCCTGGGAGGGTGGCAGGGTGGATGACTGTGATTCCTTTGCAAAAGCCTGAGCTCCTCCTGCCCAGAGCCTACACCTGTACACCTGCCTGCCAGGTGGGTCCTGCCTGGCTGCCTGAAGGGCCACCTGGGGAAGGCCCTGGGCTCCGTCAGCCTCTGGGTGTGGATCAGGCGCTGGGAGGCTGTCCCAAGCAGTGCAGGCGCCCGCCTTCCCCCTCCCCATGTGCCAAGACAGGTTTTTCCATTTAAATTCCAGACGGATGATGGTACCAGCGGGAAGGCAGCTTGTGGCCAGTGGGCAGCTCAACTCAGGCCTTTTCCAGGCTAGCTCAGGCCCCAGAGGAGCCCCGTCCCGCAAGCCATCAGGGGCAGGTGCCAGGTTGGCACTGGCCCTGGCTGGACAGCACCATCCTGTGGCTTTGCTCTCCTGGACTCCAAGTCTGGTGGACTGGGTGGTGAGTGCAGGAAGAGTGGGAAGGCAGCCTTGCGTGCCCAGCAGCCCGAGGACTCTGTCCAACGCTCTGGCCCCTCTGCCTCCCCTGCCAGCCCAGCCAGGACACCTCCCACTGTCTCAGGCCACCCAGAGGTCACCACCTGGGCGGTCCCTCCCCTCTCCTCCTGCCCCATCTGGCCTCGGCTGCACCTTTCACAGGGCCCATGGGAGCCCCCTTCACTGAGGGACTGGAGGCTTGAGGGCTGCCGGGCCCCGTCAGGACCTGCAGGTGGGGGCCAGGGTAGGCCTGTGACCGGGGAAGTGCTGCACAGACTCCAGTGCCTGGCACTGATGTGTCCTTGCCGGCTGTGGGCAGGCCACTGTCCACCCCGACCAGGAGCCAGGAGTGCTGCCCCTCCACTTGGCCACCCTGAGCCCTCCGTAGCCTCTGGCTCTCGGTAATGTGACTGACAGTCCAGAGCTGTGTCTCACCCCAGAACTATGCATCGGCATGAAACCCAGAGACGGTGCAGCTGCCCAGGGTGGGGGCCCTATGAGCTGGCGGTCAGTGCCGGCCACCCCGTTCCAGGATTCCTCCTGGGGGCTGGGGGCCTGATGAGGGGGCACGCCGACCACCTGACATAAACACTCGGGTCATCCCATGTGGGCTGGGGCCTCCATGGGGGGTCCAGGGGCCCAAGGGGCTGGGCGGGGCCTGGGGGAGGGTCCCTCAGGGGCATCTGCAAAATGCCTCAAGGTTGTGCCCAGGGACTGGCCGCTCATCAGAGACGGGAGTGGTCACTGGGCTCAGCACTGTGTCCCTGGCCCACCAGCCCCAGATGGGCCCCGGGGTTGGGCAGGAGGGGCCCTGGGGAGGGCAGCAGGTGTTGAGGGTGGCCACATACCCAGCAGCCCACCTGACGGCAGAGGCCCTGTGGTGCCCTGCCCTCCCCAAGCACCTCATCCGCCAGCTCTGTCCTTTGTCAACGTCACAGGAGGGGACAGAGGATGGCCGTGACCCCGCTCTGTGCAGTGACCCTCATCAGCCTCCTCAGGAATGGAAGTCAGCCCCAGCTCCATCTCCCCTCGATCTTCTAGACCTCGAAATGGGTTAAAGGGAAGGAAGCAGGCCTGGGAGGCCCGCCTGTGACCCCAGGAGGGTGCCAAGGTCAAGGCCAGCCCGGACAGTGCAATGAGACCCTGTCAAAGTGAAAAAAGAGAAGGGCTGGAGATGTAGCTGGTAGAGCACCCCTGGTTCAACCCCCAGTACCCCCAAAAAAGGACCTGGAGG